GTGAACTGTGTGCAAAGGCTGAAAATTCCTCACAGTTATCTGTAATCGCTCTCTCGTCCCAGACGATGATGGTGATCAAGACTCCATGGTATGGTGGTGATCAGGACCCCCTGGTGTGGCAGTGATCATGACTCACTGGTGTGGCAGCGATTAGAACCTGCTGGTGTGGTGGCAATCAGGACCAGCTGGTATGGCAGTGATCAGGACCCGCTGGTATGGCAGAGATTAGGACCCACTAGTATGGTGGCGATCAGGACCTGCTGGTATGGTTCGCACTAGACACTGTTGGGAAGAGATAAGGGACACCATGAGCTGGCTGGCAATATTTTGTGTGTGTAAACTGTGTGTAAAGACTGAAAATTGCTCACAGTTATCTGTAATTGCTCTCTCGTCCCAGACAATGACGGTGATCAAGACCACATGGTGTGGCAGTGGTCAAGACCCCATGGTATGGTGGTGATCAGGACCCCTGGTGTGGCAGTGACCAGAACCTGCTGGTGTAGCGGTGATCAGAACCCGTTGGTGTGGCGGTGATCAGGACCCACTGGTGTGGTGGCAATCAGGACCAGCTGGTATGGTGGTGATTAGGACCCACTGATATGGCAGAGATCAGGACCCACTGGTATTGTGGTGACCAGGACCTGCTGGTATGGTTCACACTAGACACTGTTGGGCAGAGATAAGGGACACCATGAGCTGGCTGGCAATGTTTTGATTAGGAACCAACTAGCATGGTGGTGACTAGGAATCCACTGGCATTGTGGTCATCAGGAACCCGCTGGCGTGGCAATAATCTAGAACCTGCTGATGTGGTGGTGATCAGGAACCGGCTGGCATAGCAGTGATCAGGAACCAAACTGGTGTGGTGGTAATCAGGTACCGGCTGGTGTGGCAGTAATCAGGAACAGGCTGGCATGGCAGTGATCAGGAACTGGCTGGTGTGATGTGCATAGGAATCAAGCTGGTGTGGCAGTGATTAGGAACCAAGCTGGTGTGGCAATGATCATGAACCAAAGGGTATGGCGGTGATCAGGCAGGGAGGTGATTAGTGCACTGAATTGATTTGGGTGCTGGTATGGCAGCACTGATGACAGCTGGGCAGTGATCAGGGACACTGTAAAGTGGCTGCTGGTGCTGTAGCTCTATAATCTCACTTCAACTGTTGTAAACGCACCCTGCAGCTTGTGTTTACATTTACACTGTGTCCTCAGTGGACACATTGGATCACATGGTATAAGATCGATTTCATTGGTGACTGATTTCATTGGCAAGCAGGTGAATGCTCCAGGAGCAGTGCACAAGCCTCAGATGCGGGCTGACAGTCCAGTACCAGTGCTCCCGTCTCGCCGTCTATCTGCTTTCAGCAGATGGGAAGTGGTTAAACACCTGCAATGAGCAGGGACACATGAGCAGAGGTTACAGTTAAACCACTTGCCTACTGGTCACTCCCTCCCCCCTTCCTGCCTAGGCCAATTTTCAGCTTTCAGCACTGTTGTACTTTAAATGCCAATTGTGTGGTCATGCAACACTGTACCCATACAAAATTTTTATCTTTTTTTTTTTAGACAGATAGAGCTTTTGTTTGGTGGTATTTACCACTTCCATACAGGGTACTTTTACCCCCTTCCTGCCCAGGCCAATTTTCAGGGTTCTCAGCACTCTCACACTTTGAATGACAATTGCGCGGTCATACAACATTGTACCCAAACTAAAATTTTATAATTTTCTTCACACAACTAGAGCTTTCTGTTGGTGGTATTTAATCACCACTGGGGATTTAGTTTTTGCTAAATTAACAAAAAAAGACCAAAATGTTCGAAAAATGTGTTTTTGTTATAAACGTTTGCAAATAATTAATTGTTCTTCATAAATTTAGGCCAAAATGTATTCTACTACATGTCTTTGGAGAAAATAACCCAAATTAGTATTTATTATTTAGTCTGTAGGAAAGTTATAGAGTTCACAAACTATGGTATAGTTCTGAATATTGATCAATCCTGAAGTACTGACGGCCAATCTAATTTGTTGAGGTCCAAGAATGTCAGAACAGTACAGATATCCCCCAAATGACCCCTTTTTGCAAAGTAGACATTCCAACATAATTTTTCGGAAATGAAAAAAAAAAATGATTTTCACTATTTTTTTTTACATACTGTCACCAGTGCAGTACAGTGTCATCATATAACTGGCATGGCGGTGATCAGGGACACTGACTGGTGACAGTATGAAAAAAAAAATTGATAATTTTTTTTAATTTTTTTTATTACATTTTTTTTTTCTTTTTTTAAGATTTTTTTTTCATATTTCACTATGACCAAAGTAGTATAATGTTACCATAGTAACATTGTACTACTTTGGGGAAGTGATCAGTATTTTTTTTTTACACAATTTGCTTATAGCAAAGAATTTGCTATAAGCAAGCATTTACCTGAATGAAATTGATTCATTCAGGATTTTTTTTTTTTTTTTTTGCTTAGCTGTGATTTGGCCACAGCTAATCACATGACACAGCTGGGCTGTGATTGGCTGTGATTGGCCCAGCTTGTGCATGTGATTGCTGTGACCATTCCCAGCTAGACACACTTGTATACAATAGATGGCATGAAAGGAAGCCATCCATTGTATACAACTGTCATGTGACCTGCTGTGATTGGTCACAGCAGGTCACATGATACTGGCAACGGGGCTGTTCTGTCATCGGCCATGTCCAAGGTACACGGCTGGTGACAGATCGCGCTGCTAAAAAAGACAATATTTTGAAAAAAAAGTTTTTCATAGTTTCTGTTATAAAATTTTGTAAATAAGTATTTTTTCTCCTTTACTGATTTGTGCTGATGAGGCTGTACTGATATATAGGGCTGCTAGGTGGCACTGATGGGTATCATTGATGGGCACTGAAAGGCAGCACTGATGGGCACTGATATGTGGAACTGGCTCTGATAGGTGGAACTTATTGGCACTGATAGGTGTCACTGATTGGCACTGATAGGTGGCACTTATGGGTACTGATAGACTGCACTGATGAGGGGGACTAATAAGTGGCACTGATGGGCATTGACAGGCATCACTGATGGGCACTGAAAGGCAGCTCTGATGGGCAGTGATAAGTGGCACTGATGGGCACTGATGAGCATCAGCGATGGGTACTGAAAGGCAGCACTGATGGGCACTGATATGCGGCACTGATAGGCAGCACTGATGGGCACTTATAGGTGGCACTAATGGGTACTGATAGATTGTGCTGATGAGAGGGAACTGATAGGCAGCACTGATGGGTATTGACAGGGATCACTGATGGGCACTGAAAGGCAGCACTAATGTGACACTGATGGTCACTGATAGGTGACACTGATAGGCAGCACTGATTGGCACTAATAGGTGGCAGTGATGGGCACTCGTAGACAGCACTGACTGACACTTATAGGTGGCACTGATGAAGAGGCACTGATATGTGGTACTAATGGGCATTGACAGGCATCACTAATGGGCACTAAAAGGCAGCTCTGATGGGCACTGATATGTGGCATTGATGGGTACTGATCGGTGGCAATGATGGGCACTGAAAGGCAACACTGATGAGGCTGCACTGATCATCAAGGCACTGATGATCAGTGCCCTGATTATCAATGTAGTTGTCCCCTCTGAAGAATGCCGCATACTGATTCTTCTTTCCTCACATGCTGTGTAGCTTGAGGAGAGGACTGCCGATAACAGGAATTTCCTGTTGACATATGATCAGCTGTGATTGGACACCGCTGATCATATGGTAAGAGTCTACCTCATCAGCTCTTTACCACAATCGGTGATCCAATGTGTCCCGGGGACATATCACACCACTAATCGCAGTGTCGAGTGACCCCGGGGGCGCACATGCGCAGCTAGAGTGGGAGGACGTCATATGATGTCCTCCCAGAACAAGAGAGCTCCCGCCATTCTATCATTTCCCAATACGGCGTGCGGGAGGTGGGTAAAACACTGCTTTAACCTTCCTAAACATTAATAAAAAACTGTGATTGTCTCTATATTTTTGTGTCTAACCACAATGGGTGCTTATGATAATCATCAAATGTGCAAAAAAAAATATTTTATGAAAAGTCCTAGCAAATAACATAGGGAGATTTTGCTACACATGTGACCAACATATGGAATTATTGGGAAATGGGGGACACACACAGCAAGCTGGGACTTCATCATTCCTTTTAGACAGCTGCCACATTGATAAGTGTTTCCATTAGAACAGTTATCTTCCTATTCTAGAGACTCAAAATATTGAACCTTTTCTCACTTTAAGTCTTGGTCAATGGTCACAAAAAACACATAGGAAGGGTGTCTATCAAGCAGAGAAATACACAGAAACAAAATACCAGACAGTGACTCTAACACCTCTCTCCTCTATCCACAACGGAAACAAAACTTTTTGGTGCACTTTAAGGAAATTGCACGTACAAGATACATCCTATGGACTGGGTCAATTTATGACTTCTGACCACATATTGTTCAAAGACAATGTAGCAGGGCCTGTTAAGCTTCAGATCAAGCACTAAAATAAATTGCTTTTTGGCCAAAACTTATAGAGAGGTTTCTGTGTAAATGTTCTTATAGAAAACAAAGTGTCATGGGGAGTAAAAATGCTAACTTTCCTGCAAATTAAATAATATTTAATTACAAATATTTTCCCAAATTTTCTTTAATTGGGTGAAGATTAAACATAAATTAACTTTTTACATTTTTTGGCAGGCTACAGATTTGGTTGTACACTATGAATTACAGGAAACATAATAAATTGCAATTTGTGTTATATGACCATACCGTGGAAGAGGAAATGGCCATAGATGAATATTACATTTATAACTTCTACAGTATTTTTAGACCATCACTGAAACACATTTTTAAATTTGAAAAAAACTAGTTTTATTCTTACCATATAGTGCACTATTCCAAAATATCATTTTAATATTTTTTAAATCACAAAACCAAATAACAGATTTTGTTAGTATAAAATGATTGACGCAAATGAAACATCAGTTACGGAATTTATTCTTTTAGGATTTTCTGGCATTAAAAATATAAAGCTTCTTTTGTTTGGTGTATTTTTGTTTATTTATATTATCACTTTCTCAGGAAATATTGTTATTGTTACTGTTGTTTACGTCAACCTACAACTGCATACACCAATGTATTTCTATTTAGTTAACTTGTCATTTTTGGAGATTTTTTACACCACTAATATTATTCCTAGGATGTTATTTAACATAATGACAGATAACAATATTGTGTCTTTCTTAGAATGCATTGCCCAGTTATATTTTTTTGGTTCTCTGGGTTCAACTGAATGCTTTCTTTTGGGAGTGATGGCCTATGACAGATATGTAGCTATTTGTAGACCACTACATTATGCAACAATAATAACTACTAGAACAAGTTTTCTCATGGCACTTTGTTCTTGGTGTGCAGGATTTATTGCTACCTTTGGAGCAATCATATTAGTCTCACAGTTGAGTTTTTGTGGACCTAATACAATTAAGCATTTTTTCTGTGATCTTCATCCAGTCTTGGAATTATCTTGCAAAGATGCACATGTAATGGACACAGTAGCTTGGACATTAGCTTCTACAATTCTTCTGGGGTCGTGCCTTCTCACCCTTGCATCCTATGTTCGGATCATGATGACCATAATAGGAATACCATCTAAAGGTAGACAGAAAGCATTCTCAACCTGCACAGCACATCTTACTGTGGTTGTCATATTCTATGGTGCTATGATTTCCATGTATGTCAGTCCAAAGTCTCCAAACAGTGTTGAGTTCAATAAGTATTCATCCCTTCTTTACACAGTAGTTACCCCCTTTTTGAATCCCTTTATCTATTCATTAAGGAACCAAGAAGTTAAGCAAGCAGTTATTAGATCAGTAAAAAGACTGTGCAGATTGTAAATTAATTATGTTAAACTGATTCATAAAAAAATCATATACTGTATGTTTCAACATGTTAATGTAATTTCTAAAGTCATTTTCAATATTTTAAATCTGAAGCTTTCATGTAAATAATTCCTGGTAAATATTTTCTGTCATGAAGGTCCTGGTTTAGGCACTTTCTGTTTTCGGGTGATAATGTTCTATTTCTGTCTTTTAATTATACTCCTGCTTTGTCAATAGTTAAAAAATAAATCTGCTTCGGTTTGCGTCAAGGGTAGGTTTGGCAAGCACATTAAAAAATACACAAATTGTAATCTTTAAAGTAGTTGTAAAGGCTCAGGGCTTTTTTTTAACCTTCATGCATTCTATGCATGAAGGTAAATAAACCTTCCATGTGCTATTCTGCCCTCAGCCCCCCGCCCCAGTGAATACCCCATCGCGACCCACCATTGTGCACAAGAGCATCAGCTCTCTGGGGACTATTCCTCTTTATTGGATCCTCATTGACTGTCAATCACAGTCATTGAGCCAATGAGGAGAGAGAAGGTGCAGGGCCAAGTTGCGGCTCTGTGTGTGAATGGATACACAGAGCAGCAGTTCAGGAGTGAGCCTGCTTGGGCACCCCCATGACAAGCTTCTTGCATTAAGGGCACTTGGTAAGATGGAGGGGCCAGGAGTGCCAGCAGGGGACCTGAGAAGAGGAGGATTGGGACTTCTTTGAGCAAAAACCACTGCACAGAGCAGGCGAGTATGATATGCTTGTTATATTAAATTTTTTTTCATAAAATATCACTTTAACGTAAGCCCCATAGAACTGTAGTATATGCTACAACAAAAGTGACATGTCATAAAAATGGAGAGGGTACCTTGAAATCGTGGATTCCCCTGGAAAAGCACCTTTGTCCCAATGTTGATGAGGTCAAGGGCTTCTTTTCCACATCACAGGCCTGTAGGATAAATCTGTTTTACGTAGTCCAGCTATGCAGGTCCACATCAATCATGATGAACAATGTCTGTCTACCCAAAACACACTGCTTTGTCCTCTTCTGGTGGACTCCTCAGCATGAAGGACATTTCTCCAGCAGACAGCTGAAAAAAAACAAAGAGGCAGGGTATAAAGGTAAAGCGAGTGCTCAAAAATCAGCTGCTGGAACACTCTAAGGAATCACTGGACCTTTAAACAAGAATAATAATATATAGTGCAGTGCTGGTGTATCAATTAAAAATGAACATGATTAAAATGAGTACATATGAAAATAGTTCATAAAGTCCTTCCACAATAAAGTGACCATAGGTGTATGAAGGTTTCCTCCTTATTTAGGTGACTGGTATCAAACAGAAAAAATGCGCACTCACCGACCGCATGCGCGGTCCCATTTTTTAGATTTTGAGCGATAGAGCGGGATTTTCGCGCATGCGTGAACCGCATTTAAATAAGGAAGCTTTCTGTCACACTACTAATGGCATCCAACCCTCTGATGAAGTGCTGTAGCACGAAAGGCCTCAGGAGGAGCCAGTAGCAAGTGTGACTTCCTGACCACTGGGACCACGAGGAGGTCCGGTGGTCTTTGATCCTCGCCGGGTTAGTACATGTTTTATCTTTCATATTTACCAGTCTGCTTGACGGCTAATGGTATTTGTGTGCACATGCAACCCTGGCTTAATTACTGTTGATCCAATAAAGTTCTTGAACATACTACACTATTGGCATTCCCTCTTTTTTGACCCTCTTTTTGGAGGGTTTCAGATCTGCATCTACCATTTCTGGGGTACCTGGAACCAGGAGGGGGACCCCTGCCTGCCTATCTTTTGGAGCGAAAGGGCTCTCTGTACCTGGAGGTATATTACTACACCCAAGGCCGATGTCAGTATTTGAGAGGGATGGTCCATGTGTCCTTAGGATCTGCATGCCTGGCTGGTCATCCGCATAAGAGTGTACACAGGCGCATTTAAAATGTGCGGTCGGTGAGTGCGCATTTTTTCTGTTTGATACCAGTCACCTAAATAAGGAGGAGACCTTCATACACCCATGGTCACTTTATTGTGGAAGGACTTTATGAACTATTTTCATATATACTCATTTTAATCATGTTCATTTTTAATTGATACACCAAAGAGGCAGGGTATCCTGGGTGATGTCATTGACTGAATATGGTAATTCCCATATCTTTTCATGACCATTTTGGTTAATAATATCACCTTGCTGCAGGTGAGCTGTCAATTGCAGCAAGGAGTTCACCACGTGTGGATCATTCTCAATGGTTGGCATGTTTTCTTTGGTGGGTCATCAGGATCATTGGGCACCATGATTGACATGAATTTTCATCACTGGACAAGTTAATTGTGGAAGGATTTGTACCATGGGACGTTTGGAGATTTTTTTTCAACAAAAGACTTTTTTAATGTGAAAAAGTGTTTATGTGTTTATTTACTACTTAGCCTTTTTGTGAATGAATAACATATAACATGTACCCCTTATTCATTTACATGCAGAGGTATCAGGTGCCCCACCTCATTATTAAGGGGGCATTTAGATTCTGATAAGGCCCTCCACAGATCCCCCTACATCCACCAGGCCAGGGATGTGGAGAAGAGGCCACAATAAATTCATGAGAAAGGCAATTTCTTTCTCCAACCCCCCCATTTCCTGGCCAACCAGGATGCAAGCTTATTTTTTTTGAGTGGGATACCCCCCTCCCCCCTTAAAATTCAGTAAACTAGCCCTCAGAAATGCTATGCAACCATTGCTGAAATATGTGCATGTAAACAGAAAATGACTGTTAAGAGGCTACCAAAGTTCAGCAACACTGAGAAGCAAGAAAGGATAATAAATGGTAAATATAAGTATTTTATTAAAAGAAAAAAATATAGCAAATGTTAAGGACAGGACATTCTCTAGCATGCTTCATGTCATTTATATGTTGTATTTGAATGTTGTCAAAAAGACAAAGCAGAACTTCACCCAAAAGTGAAAGTTCCACTTTTCTGCCTCCCCCATCCTCTTCTGCTTGGGCACATTATTTTTTGAGGGGGAGCCAATACCTGTTTTTGCCTAGGTGATATAAGCAGAAGTTCGCCCCTTCATCCCTGCCCACAGTTTTCTGGGACACATCACAGGTCCCAGAAGGCTGCAGACCATTTACAAAGCATTACAAACATTCACAGTGGGAAGCTGGCTGTGAAGCCACAAAGAGTCACAACAGGCTTTCCAACACTAAATATGCTGGAGGAAGGCACCAGAACACTAGTGGAGAACTAGCTCGGGTGAGGATGGTTAAAAGCCAGTAGCTACAATATTTGTTGCTGCTGGCTTTTAATTTTTTTCAGACTTAACAATTACTATCACCAAGTGAAAATGAAATACAAGATTTTCCCATTTTGGGATGTCACTAGAACAGGAATAGGGATGAGATATTCCAGTGGGAGCACTAGTTCTAGGCATCCTGCAACCAATCCTTTCCTTACGTTGGAGAGATTTCCTTTACCTTCCTGTTTTGGGCTGTTGGAGCAGTGGGACACAGATGGCAAAAAAAAGACCAACAGAAGTTATAATCCTACCTTAATATCTCCAAAATTAAAAAGATTTTCTATTAGTTCTACTGTAATGCCACTGGATTTTGAAGACTAAAGGTACATACACATAATGAATAAACTGTAGCTGATGTTAAAATAGACATCAACTTAGAAAGGGCCAATGACATCCAATACAGATATTTTCAGTTTGGGGTTGGCCAAAGTAGTTTAAATTTCCATTTGGCTTTGTACAACCTCTTTTATAGGGACTGAAGTTGCAATATTCTATGTAGATTAATCTTCACACAACCAAACAAGGTTAAAAATGTGTTACCTTTTTGTAGATGAATTTCCTTGTTATTTGTTTAATCCTTTGGACACTAGATAGAAACCTTGTGCAGCTCTTTTGTCATTGTCCACCATTATGCAAGCTATTCCCTTACTGATCAGTTATATATAGGATTTTGTTCTCATAATTTGTAACAACAAGACAAGTATTACATTTTAATTTTATCATCTTTTCTATCTCATATCTGAAATATAGACTGTGAAATATTTATTTAAGTAGACATATTAATTTACAGAAAAAATACCTGATATGCTTACACAACATTATATAAATAAATGATTAAAATATAATAGCTTTATCCATATGTTAAAACTATGCTTATGTTATCATTAAATTTGGATTATAATCATTTATGCTCCACTAATTTTTAGATATTCTTAACTTGAAGAATGTATTACATTTAGATACATGTTAGAATTTTTCTTGTGTCATCATTAAGGATGCACGAACAAAAAGCGTTAAACCTACATGTGATGGATGTACTCCATTAAAAGTGATATTTTATGTTTACAAACAGCAGCCAGGTTGTACCATTTAATGGTGGCCCGGTTTAAGTTTGCAGCCAAAAAAAGAAGAATGTTTACTATGGATA